ACCACTCCTTTAGCCACATATTGAATTGTGCTATGCGCTGGCCTTTTCCATTTTGCTCCTTATACACTGGTAAAACCTCTGAGAAAGTAAGCCTACAGCCTATTCTGCTAAATTCCTTCCCCAAGCTCTGGAAATCATTCTGCACAGAGAGTACATCTTTTTGGGACAAATCGTTAGTGCCAAGATGTACAATAGCCTCCACATCACAGCCCTTGCTGCCATTCTTGATTATTTTAGAAATACGCTTCTTGTCCCTACTGACAGTAGCACCTGGAAGACACCTGACCTCTTTTGAAGCCTCTGTGTCCTTTCCTAAATTTACATCCCTTATAATTGAATCACCTACCAGAAGGTAGCTTCTCTTTTTGGATGCCTTTCTGTTCTTGCATGACTGATGTGTAGTAGCTGATTCACACTTCTCCCTGTCGAAATCTAGTTCTTCGTCTCGGACCACAATCCCCTGCTTATTTGAGTTATCTTCACAAATACCTTTACTTGTCTCCTTAGTGTCCCTATTAAGGTCAGCAAGGGCACTGTAACTGTTGTGCAGGGACACAGCAAAAGCTTTGTGTTTATGGTTCACAGCTCTCACCCTGCCAGATCCCACGGTTGTCCACACTGTCCTTCTCCTGCAGGATCTTTGTGGTAGAGGGAGCTGATAGCACGGAGGCTTACTAGAGTAGAGGGGCTGAACTGGACGCCTAATTTCTGTCTGAAGAGCACAGATTACAGACCCTAGATAAATGATCTGTCCTTGTAGACTAGTGATTTGTTTACAGATAGAACTGTTTCCAAGTTTGAAAAGGGTACTGCGAAAGACAGCTGCAAGGCAAGTGTTGCACTGAACTAAGCCAGACATTCTTAGATACAGGGAATCTCAGACACACTTGCCCTGAATGTACTGCTGCTGTTTATGATTTTTAGTTATGTAATTCCTACTTTCCTGGTGGATCCTCCCAAAACGTACAGCTCTAGCAGCAGTTGATGCAATATAGAACGTCCCAACAGCTCTGGCAGGAGTTGAAATGGAGTTTAAATACAAAATAAATACACTATAAATGAAATGGAGATCCAATCAGGGCCTAGCTACTTTCCTGGTGGATCCTCCCAAAACGTACATCTCTAGCAGCAGTTGATGCAATATAGAACGTCCCAACAACTCTGGCAGGAGTTGAAATGGAGTTTAAATACAAAATATCCAACAGGTAAGCTCGATGTCTATCTTTACTGCTATTTGGTACCATTCTTATAAGCAGTCAGAAACTCCCTGGTAGATGCAGGCCTCAAATAAGTCGTCGTCCAAACCCTCTTTAAAATAGTGCACCAGGGATTGTTCTGGCTACCGTTCAATAAGGCCTGTGACTCTTCTGAACTCGCGCATATAATCCATCGCCGGTCTGCCAGCTTGATTCACTGCATGAATGTCTTACTCTACTCTTAGGGCTATGGAGTGTCTTCAAATCGGGTTCTCAACCCTCGGACGAACAAGTTGAAATTCCATAGTTCAGGTGCTTGCTCATTGTACAGACTATTGAGCCACTCGGCAGCCTCTCCTTCCAGGTTAGCTGCGACAACATCAACCATTGCTGCCTGGTCTGGATAGCCATTGCCATTGCAGTTCACATAAGAACGCACTTGATTCAAAAAGAAAGTTAACTTTTCAGGGTCCCCATCGAACTTAGCCTTCAGGGGGGAACAGCCATGCGTTGTTGTCGGTCTAGCAGATCATGCATTCACTCATAATGCTGCATCAGGTCACGCTGGTGGTCTCTTCCTCGTTCAGCCCTGGGAAGGGGCCCGGGACTGGCATGATGACAATGGTAAGGATCAGGGCTGTGTCGGCTGCGATGAGGCTCAGGGCTTTGTCAATAACAGTGACGGTCAGGGCTTTCCTATCCCAGTACTAGTCAAGGTCGCCCCGGTCTCTGTAACAGCCAGAACTCTCCCTGCGCTGGGGATAGTCAGGGCTGCGGTAACACGGGTAGTGATTGGGGCTTTCAGAGGAGCAATGTTGCTCAAGGCTAACACACTGTTCTTGGCGACCAGGACTGTCACGTTGACAGTGACGAACTGGACTCGATGACCGTCAGTGACATCAGGACTGGCTCGCTGCTGCTGACGGTCTGGACTTCTCTCTCGCACTGGGCTCGAGGCTAATGCCAGTGATTGTGAAGGTGGGGAGGGAACTCTGGCCCCTAGCACAGGATTAGGACTTCTTCTGGTCGAGGAGCTGCCCCTGCCTTGATCATCATCCTTTTTGCTGATAGACAGTGGACGGGTAGCGCGCTCCTTAGTTCCCTCCTCCAGCCCTTCAAATATCTCCCTAAGGTGCTTGACCGACTGGTTCTGGACTGCAGTCTGGTACTTCCAATCACCTGAGTCATCCAACAGTGCCATTTTTTTGCCCCTCATCAATCAGGAGAGCGTGTTCTTTGGGGAGCTGGCAGAGAGTATTTGGACTCCATTGCTTTCGAAGAATCCCTCTTTGGCTGGCTCGTTTCTGATCACTTAGGGTCTCCACTAGGCAGGGCCCACTCAGATGACCAAATGAGTTCTTTAGTCTTTGGTCTTGCCCCCATCGCCGAAGCACCTGAGACAGTGATTTCACCCGGCGCGATGGCCTGTGCTCCATCCACCGATGTACCAGCTCTGGCTGCGGTGCTGGTGACAGGGTTCTTCTTCTTCTCCATATTGGGATCTTCCCCGAGTCTTTGTCAGCCTCCCTTCTACTTCGGGTGGGTGACTGCAACTCAGGACCCTGTAATTTTAAAGAAAAAGGGAGTTTTGGGCTAATGTCATGGTTCCGATAGATGAAACCAGTAAAAGAACTTCAAGGCAAGAATTCTTCCTTAAAGAACATTTTATTAGGAAACAAAGTATCGGCACCTACATAATTGAATTCAAAACTGAGATTCCCTCCCCCAGATACAAAGTAACAAGTTGCAATTCCCATCCCACAAACGCTGTCAAAAGTCACATTCCCCAATTAATGCAAGACGCGGGCTGTTCTCACCGGCCCCTCAGCCGGCCAAAACCTTATCAGACCATGTCCTTGAGTTCCCACACTTTTACATTGTTATGGTTAGCTAAACCCTCAAGCATTTACCTCATCCCCCCTTCTACATCTGAATTCTAAAAGAATAGGAAAGGTACGCTAGAAGCAAAAGTAAAAATGGCTGCTGATTCTCAGTTGTCAGAGTAATGACATCCATTATCACAGTGTTGACACTGATCAAGGAGAGATTCAACCTAGAAATAAGGAAAAATTTTCTGATAGCGAGAACAATCAATCAATGGAACAGTTTGTCCTCAGATGTTGTGGGAATTTCATCACTGGAAGCTTTCAAGAAGGGACTGGACTGCCATCTGTAAGAAATGGTGTAGGATCTCCTGCTTGGGTGGGGGGTTGGACTAGATGACCTACAAGGTCCCTTTCAACTCTGTTATTATGTTATAGGAAACTGGGAGGGGGGGAAAGACAGTTTGATGAACAGCAGAGGAGCGCAGAACCAGCTTGTGCCAGCACCCAAGACTGTACACCCTGAGAAAGAATGTTGATTACCCTAAACATCTCAGTGTTCTCAAAACACCTATATGGACTCTTATTGGCTGAAGATGGACTAGCCATGGGGGAAGGGCTGGGGTATGAAGGAAACTTTCTGTATCATTTGAGCATGGGAAATTCAGTTCTAGCCTGGCTTTACTGCAGCCAGCATCTTTTAGTAAAAGAATCTATCATTTCAATCAAATGGAGTCGAGGATCTTTCTTTCCTAAGGGATCAGACTGGGGCAGGTCTGAGACATACATCATGTATCTTTTTCTTCTTTTGCTTTCATTCCTTATTTTATACTCTTTACCATTTATTTATTTTACATTTTTAGTTTCAGTCTTCCATATGCCACAGTTATTGCCATACACTATAGATCCAAAAATTTTACCCTTTGCTGTTTACCATGTGATCAATTCAAGCCTCCACTCTTTAGGAAAAGGAATAAAGAATAGTCTAGGTTATCAGCTTTGTTGTATTGTGCCTCATGCACCACTCACTGCCAACAGTCTGCTTTATTCTGTGAAAATTAGTATCTTTAATCTAGAGCAGGGCTTTTCAACCTTTTCACCCATTGTAGCACTTTTAGGATATGGCAACATCCAAGTACCACCAGTTGCCTAGCAAGATGTCAAAAACTTGATGACCAAAAAAAAAAAAAAGGAAAAAAGTGATAAAGTACAGGTAGTCCTCGACTTACAACAGTTCGCTTAGTGACTGTTCAAAGTTACAATGGCACTGAAAAAAGTGCCCCCCAAGCCACAGCCGAGCAAGACACCTGCCTGCCCACCCAGCAGCGCTCTTCCTCCTGTCCGAGGTTTTCATTGTTGTGAGCATTTCTGTTGAGGATTGGCAGTGGGGGTGGGGTGGGGGTGTTTGGTTTTTATTCCCCCCGTCTGCTGGGTGGTTGCAGCAGATTTTGGTCACTTCACATGACCCTGGGACACTGTGACCGTCATAAATATGAATCAGTTGCCAAGCATCTGAATGTAAATCACAAGACCTTGGAGATACTGCAACATTCCAGCTGATCGGCACTTCTTCTGGGCTCAGCAGAAGCACCAGGATCAGCGCTGATCTCCAGCTGGAGCCTGGCGCTGAGCCTGCCGCTTCCGCTGAGCCCTGACTGCCCTGCAGCTCCAGCCATCTCTCACTCAGGCTTGTGTGGTGCTGCCACTGGTTCAGCTCATTCCCCTCCCCCGCTACCACTTTTCTAGGATGGTCGCGTACCACCTGCCAGGTGCCAATGTACCACAGGTGGTACCCGTACCATTGGTTGAAAAGCCCTGATCTAGAGATTTTTAGTAATAATAAGGTGTCAATAATAAGGTGTCAATAGTAAGACACCTTACTATTGACTATATCCCCCTGGCTTAAAGGTATGTACAGCATATTGGCAAAGATAGGAAACTTACAAATAATTTTTATTTTGTTTTGTTTTATGAAATTTAGAGGCTGCCCAACTGCAGAATACTAACATTGGAAAATAAGAATAAAGAAAATCTCATGCATCAGGACCGAAGGCCTGGTAAAACAGCCAGGTTTTTAAAGACTTCCAGAAAATCAATGGGGTGGGAAAGAAACAGATCTCTAGTAGCTAAAACTCAAGAGATATGAATCAACAATTATTTCAATATAAACCAGAAGTAATCTAGATTTTAGATTTCATCATGTACATTTCATGTAATCCTATTATTCCTTAGAAAGAAACCTCTGAAGCTGTGAATACTGATAAGGCATTGTTGTTCTGTAGAGAGAGAGAAAACTTCTTTGGAATTAATATACACATCTGTAACTGACTGTGTCAGATTGGATATGCTTGTTTCTAACCTTTCCAAAAATGCCCTTTATAGGAATGTTCCTTGTACTAGATTTTTGAATAATTCTAAGAGATTTATTACATTCTTCAACTTCTGAGTAAAATTTATCACTCAGTAAGATTATCTTACTGAAATTTCAGTGCAGTATCTTTTGAATTTGCTTTATGAGTATGTTAATAAATACCACAAAACTACTATATTTCCATACAATCAAATTTAGAAAAATTGTGATGTTTTCAGTCGCTGCATTATAATTTACATTTATTAAAACTATTTGAGGACTCTAGAGATCTACCTGTAATGTTTCATTTCTCTGAAGTGATTATTTACTCAAGAATAAACAACAATGTTTAGATGACAGAAAGAGATCTATTTGGGATTATTCTTCCACTGGTAATTTTTATACTGACATGAATCAAGAATTTCATTCTAACCTTATCTTGTTTTAAAAATCTTTTTCACTTTCCTCTTTCTATTTTAGCCCATCATTTTATTGTGGTCTCTGCATGCCATGGATCTTATGGACAATTAATTGAGGATTTTTGCCTCAGCAAATTTAAATCTGACATGGAAATTCTCAGGAAGATGCTGTGGTGCGATTGGGATAAGACTTTGGAGTGAGTATCAAATAATCAAACATATTTTTTCTTTTATGCCCATAATTTGGATCATAATAGAATGACCCAGTTAAAAGGAACCTTCCAGATCATTTAGTCCAACCCTCTGCTCAGTGCCAGAGTCCACTAGATCACATTTTTAGATAGATAGATAGATAATTTTTATTGTCATTTTTACTGTGGGCACGTTGGCACACATTAAAAATGAAATTTAGTTGCTTGCTCTCAAAAGTGTACACATACATAACACATTTAAACATACTATATACAACATATTGTAAACCTACATCCTTATATATAAATAATGTATAAATATTAATCACTGTCCATCTTGAATATATAGCGGAAAGAGGAAGCTTTAGAGTTCACAAGGTTATTACTGTATGGGACAAATCTGTGACTGAATCTGGGTGTTTTGCTTCGGATACCACGAAGTCTCCTCCCAGAAGGTAACAAAGAAAACAGGTCATGAAGAGGATGTGTAGTGTCCCAGGCAATCTTGCGGACCCTGCTCAAGCAACGCTTATATGCTATGTCCTGGATGGGAGGGAGGGAATAGCCAATGATCTTTTCTGCTATCCTTACCACTCTCTGCACGCCTTCCTGTCTGAAGCAGTGTAATGCTTCCAAACCAGACAGTAATGCTATATGATGCTCTCGATCATCCCTCTGTAGAAAGTGATAAGAACAGGGGAAGAAAGATGTGTTTTTCTCATGCAACACAGAAAATGCAAGTGCTGCTGTGCTCGCTTTACCAGTGTCTTGCAGTTGAGCGATCAAGCCAGTCTACTCGCTAATTGCACACCCAGAAAATTGATCCTGGTAACCATCTCCAAAGGTGAATCATTAATGCACAGAGGAATGTGGCTGTGGCTGCCTTTTCTAAAATCGACAAAGATCTCTTTGGTTTTTCCAATGTTTAGAATTAGGCTGTTTTTCTTACACCAGTTCACGAAACCCTCAACCTCTTGCGGTAATCACCCTCATTGTCATCTGAATAAGGTCCACTACTGTTGTATCATCTGCATACTACACAATATGGTTGGTGGCAAACCTAGTGCAACAGTCGGGTCAGCAGTGTGAACAGCCACGGACTTAGTACGCAGCTCTGAGGAGAATCTGTGCTCAAGAAAATGGTGTTAGAAATATTTGTTCCAGCTTGCACATACTGGGGCCTGTCAGTAAGATCAAGAATCCAGTTGCACAAAGGAGTTTTTAAGCCTAAAAGGCCCAGTTTGTCTTCTAGATGCTGGAGAATGATTGTATTAAATGCCAAACTGAAGTTGACAAACAGTATACGCACATGAGTATTTCTTTCCTCTAAGTCTCCAAGCTCAGATGGAGAACAGAAGAAAAAGCATCCTCTGTAGAGCAATTTGGTTGGTAAGCAAACTGAAGCGGGTTAAATGCTGGTGGGAGGCTAGATACAATAATGTCCTTTATTAGCCTCTCAAAGCATTTCATAATGATGGATGTCAGTGCAACTGGGTGGTAATCATTGAGACCTGTAATTGTAGACTTTTTTGGCACTGGCAAAATAATGGCCATCTTAAAACATGATGGGCCACTGCCTGCTGCAAGACAAAGTAAAGTGGAATAATTACTTCTCATGATCTAGACTCTATGTTCCAGTTAATGTGAGTCAAGAGAGAGTTTTTCTTTATAGCAATTGCCTCTTTAACTTGAATTCAATAAGGGTACTCAAATCCCTTTCACAAAGGGAGATCTCTACTATCTTATAGTTGTGCTTTTCATCTTATTACCTTGATGGAAAATTTTACACCTCTTCCCGTCAAATTCCAACTATTCATTTCAGCCCACTGCTCAATATATCGGTATTGTATTGCAGGGCTTTTCAACCTTTTCACCCATTGTACCACTTTTAGGATATGGCAACATCCAAGTACCACCAGTCGCCTAGCAAGATGTCAAAAATGTGATGACCAAAAAAAAAAAGGAAAAAAGTGATAAAGTACAGGTAGTCCTCGACTTACAACAGTTCGCTTAGTGACTGTTCAAAGTTACAGTGGCACTGAAAAAAGTGCCCCCCAAGCCACAGCCGAGCAAGACACCTGCCTGCCCACCCAGCGGCGCTCTTCCTCCTGTCCGAGGTTTTCATTGTTGTGAGCATTTCTGTTGAGGATTGGCAGCGGGGGTGGGGTGGGGGGTGTTTAGTTTTTATTCCCCCCGTCTGCTGGGTGGTTGCAGCAGATTTTGGTCACTTCACATGACCCTGGGACGCTGTGACTGTCATAAATATGAATCAGTTGCCAAGCATCTGAATGTAAATCACAAGACTCTGGAGATGCTGCAACATTCCAGCTGATCCAGGGTGCAAGAAGTTCCAGAGGGCAGGTGCAATGGCAGAAAAGACCCTTCTCCTGGACCCTGACAGTCAGAATATCCTGGCCAATGGGGCCCACAGCATGCCTCCTCTACTGGCACATGTGGAGCAAGCTAATCCCAGTGGGATGAGAAAGTCCCTTAAATAACCTGGACCTATGCCATGAAGGGTTTTAAATGTAATTACCAACAGAGCAAGGATGGTCGCACTACCACCATTCCATTCCATGCTGGATCAGCTCATTCCTCCTCAGTGAATTCTTGAATAAGGGAAGCCTTGTTGTTAATTGACTTGGCATTCAGCAGCAGCAGCCAAACCTCAGGGCCTACAAGGATATGCTGTTCAGGAACTAGGAGTGAGCTCAAGGGGCCAGAACACAACACCAATATTATGTATCGGGGGCATCTACCCCTGTAATGGCCTGCCCTCTGGCACCTGTAGCATCCTACACCCGTCACCACTCTGATGCATTGTCCTGCCCTATATCCCCCAAAGTAGTCATTCTCCCTCCCCCTTTCCTCCTTCCTTATAAAGCCAGGAGCTTTGCCGCCCCCTCTAGGTCATTCATATATTTCCTGGGGGAATCAATAAGGAAGGAAGTCCCCATGGCACTATAGCTCAAGCTCTCAGTGCCAAGAGTTCTCCCCTCTCCAATCCCTCCCTAACACACTAAGTTAAGATAGGCAAGAAAATGATAAGTGAGCACCTGTCCAGCCTAGACGAGTTCAAATCACCAGGACCAGATGGATTACACCCCAAGGTTCTCAAGGAACTGGCAGATGTGATCTCAGAACCACTGAACTATATTTTTCAAAGATCTTGGAGCACTGGGGAACTACCAGAGGACTGGAAAAGAGCTGATGTAGTTCCCATCTTCAAAAAAGGAAAAAAAAATGGATCCAGGAAATTACAGACCTATCAGCCTGACCTCAATACCTGGGAAGATTCTGGAAAAGATAATCAAACAATGAATCAGCGAACACCTAGAGGCAAACAAAGTCATTACTAAAAGCCAACATGGGTTTGTCAAAAACAGATCATGCCAGACAAACCTTATTACATTCTTTGACCAAGTGACAAAATTAGTGGATCAGAGAAATGCTGTGGATATAATTTACTTGGACTTCAGTAAGGCATTTGATAAAGTACATCACAACCTACTACTCGATAAGATAGAAAAATGTGGGTTAGACAGCATCACCACCAGATGGATTCGTAGCTGGCTGACCGGCCGTACTCAGCGTGTGGTCCTCAATGGAACCGCATCTCCATGGAGGGAAGTGTGTAGTGGGGTGCCCCAAGGCTCTGTTCTAGGCCCAGTGCTCTTCAACATCTTTATCAATGATTTGGACGAGGGGATAGATGGGGAACTCATCAAATTTGCGGATGACACCAAGCTGGCAGGAATAGCCAACACTCCAGAAGACAGGCTTAAGATACAGGAGGACCTGGACAGACTTGAACACTGGGCACTATCTAACAAAATGAAATTCAATGGTGAAAAAAGTAAGGTTCTACATTTACGCAAGAAAAACCAAATGTACAGGTACAGTATAGGGGGTACCTCGCTCAATAGTAGTAACTGTGAGAGGGATCTCGGAGTCCTAGTGGACAATCACTTAAATATGAGCCAGCAGTGTGCTGCAGCTGCCAAAAAATCCAACACAGTGCTCGGCTGCATTAACAGAGGGATAGAATCAAGATCACATGAAGTATTAATACCACTTTACAATGCCTTAGTAAGGCCACACTTGGAATACTGCATCCAGTTTTGGTCACCACGATGTAAAAAAGATGCTGAGAGTCTAGAAAGAGTACAGAGAAGAGCAACAAAGATGATTAGGGGACTGGAGGCTAAAACATATAAGGAACGGTTGCTGGAATTGGGTATGTCTGGTTTAATGAAGAGAAGGACGAGGGGAGACATGATAGCAGTGTTCCAATATCTCAGGGGCTGCCACAAAGAAGAGGGAATCAAGCTATTCTCCAGGGCACCTGAAGGCAGGATGAGAAGCAACGGGTGGAAACTGATCAAGGAGAGAAGCAACTTAGAACTAAGGAGAAACTTCCTGACAGTTAGAACAATTAACCAATGGAACAATCTGCCTCCAGAAGCGGTGAATGCTCCAACACTGGAAGTTTTTAAGAAGAGACTGGACAGCCATTTGTCTGAAATGGTGTAGGGTTCCTACCTGAGCAGGGGGTTGGACTCGATGACCTCCAAGGTNTTATTATTATTATTATTATTATTATTATTATTATTATTATTATTATTATTATTATTATTATTATTATTATTATTATTATTATTATTATTATTATTATTATCCTCCATCACAAACTGGTTCCTCTCACTGGGCAGTCAGTGGAGGCCCACTCATCCAAAAACCTAGCTCTCTACAAGCAACTACACATGCACAATAGCCACTCCAGACTCTCGTCCTAAGTGCAAACTCTCACATATTTTCGGTCCTTGATCCCCTCTGACATTGGGCACAATGTCAGTTGGATGGCCATAATTCTCCCCGAGTCTTTCCCAATCCTCTCACAAGGGGTAATAATTTGTATTAATGTAAAATTAAGTTTGAAATGGTAGAATAGTTTGTAATTTTGATATCTGAATAGTTTGCTAATTGTAAGGACCCACTTCAATCCCACATCTTAGGAAAGCAGAACTCTTGGAAACAATTTCTTCCAACAGGAACTTTTATTAAGAGTAGTTGATAGCAGGCATAATAGACAGGATCTGAGGGATTTCTTTACAGATCGATTACTTTAAAGTGTCCCTAAGCAAACCCCACCCCACAGTTCATCCGGACAATTCAGACCAGCCAATTCCCAGGTGTTAGGTCCATCGTGGGAAAGGGGAGATAACATTAATCCGGCTCCGTTTGTAGTGCGATGTTTCACAGCTCTTCACACCTCCTTTTGAGAACAGAGAGATAAGCCAGGTCCCGGAGGTTTGTACTTCTTTCCTTCCCCCTTTTCCTAGCTGCCCGGTTAGGGAGAAAAAGGTTCAGAGAGATGCTCAGTGCAGGAGGCAATTTGTTACACCCGCATGCATATCCCCCCTCCCCCTTGGGAGTATGGCAGAATCCAGGGGAAGGTGAGATTTGATTTTAGATCAGAGGAGATAGAAATGAAATATAACTGGATTCTGACACTAATATAATTTCTTTGGTTTTGATTATTTTTTTCCCCTTAATTTTAATTTATTTCTTCTGAATATTTCTTTTTTAGTTTTTTTAGCTTTTTCAGTTAGTTTAATTTAGACTGTCTTTTTGTTTTTATACTTTATTCAACTAATAGTTTTATGATTCTTCATAAATATTATTGAAATATAAATATATAGTTATTAAGTTGAACAGGTTTTAAAAGAAATTTTAAGCTTAAAATTTAAACAAATGAAAATAAAATATAGGTAGTCCTTGGATTATGACCACAATTCAGCCCAAAATTTATGTTGCTAAATGAAACATTTGTTAAGTGAGCTTCCCCCTTTTATGATTTTTCTTCCCATGGTTGTTAAGTGAATCATTGCATTTGTTAAGTTAGTAACATGGTTGTTAACTGAATCTGGCTTCCTCATTGACTGCTTGTCAGAAGGTCACAAAAGCAGATCACATGACTCCGGGGCACTGCAACTGTCATAAATATGAGTCAATTGCCAAGGGTCTGAATTCTGATCATGTGACCATGGGGATGCTCCAATGGTTGTGAGTGTGAAAAATGGTCATGTCAATTTTTTCAGTGCTGTTGTAACTCTGAACAGTCACTAAATGAACTGTTGTAAATCAAGGACTACCTGTAAATGTATATGTTATTTATTTATAATTTTAAAAGTTTGGCCATGCCAAAGATTTTGAAAAGATTTTGAAAAGGAGTATTCATCATGCACATAGTTGTCATCTTGAATTTAATACCAACTCCATGATTTTGCTGAAGAGTTTCTGTCTTTAATCATGGAAATGTCAGTTACACAAACTGATTTTTAAATGAATGTTTACAAGCATCTTTAGCAAAATAACAATTTTCCTAAAGTTTTATAAAAACAAATATAAATATAATGAAAGTCTGACATTCACAGCTGGCCTGTGGGCACACATTCCTTGTGGAGGCTACAGACCTCCTTGGAGGTCTTCTAGTCTAGCCCCCTGCTCAAGCAGGAGACCCTATACCAGGGGTAGGCAACCTTGGCTCTTTTATGACTCATGGACTTCAACTCCCAGAATTCCTGAGCCTGCCCTATACCATTTCAGACAAGTGGCTTTCTAGTCTCTTCTTAAAAACCTCCAGTGATGAAGCACCCACAATTTCTGGAGGCAATCTGTTCCACTGGTTAATTGTCCTCACTGTTAGGAAGTTTCTCCTTAATTCTAGGTTGCTTCTCTCCTTGATTAGTTTTCATCCACACATTGTGGTTGGAGGGAGGGGGCACTGCTCACTCACCTCCAGCTTTGCAGCCCAGTTTTTAACAGGCCACAGAGCAGTACCGGTCTGGGGCCTGGGGTTGGGGATCCCTAGTGTACAACATAAACATACGTAAATAAAAGTACATAAACAAACATAAAAAAAGAAAGCCATATAATACCTTAAATCACCCTAGCACACAGCTTCTTGCTCCGTGGTCCACAGATGTTGGTGTGCAGTCCCCAAAGAACAAAGCTTTCTCCAGAATGGGAAAGGCTGGGACAAATCTCCTTTTGGCTTACATGCTAAGTCCCTGCTGGAGAGAAACTTGTGTCTTGCATATGCCTTTGCCCATACAACATGCAAGTTGGGAAAGGGCTATTATTACAATGTATTTAGTAAACATAAAGATGGAACAGTTTGGGCCATTAGGTCCAACGCAGATCCATCCCTAGCATATGAATCTAGATTAGCATATCCCAGACAAAATGATATATGGCCTTCACTTGAATAGATTCAGTAAAGGAAAATTGATTCCGCTCTCTAACTTCTCTTACTATTAGGACAATTTCCCAATATTTGACCTCATTCTTTTCCTTGCTCTTTATTCTTGAAACATTCTTCGACTGCAAAAAACTGAATTATTATTTCCTAACTCATTCCATTCTGGGAGTTTATAGACAAATAATGTATTCTTCTGTTGGTGCATCTGGAATGGCATGTGCCTTTTTAGCGGTCAGTTTAACATCAGATGAATCCCAGTGCCAAGACCCTTTTCATGCATGATTTTTCTTTCCTAAATGAAGAATTTTTTACTTGCTCTACTAAATTGGATTCAGTTTCTTATATGTGCATAATGTATATAAATTGTGATTTTTCTGATGTACAGATACTATAGCTAAGGATCAAGTGTTTATTTGTTGTTCGAATATTGTGGTTAACAGTTGGCAGAACGAGCAAGAGAGGGAGAACATGTTATTGCTATGATCATGATTTCATCCATTTCCATATTCAGAAATATTTCTGCCCTTGATTTTTGTCTTTAAAATGTGCATTTAGAATCCTAATTCTTAGTCTTAGATCACATTCTAAAACATTCCACCCAGTTCAGTAAGCACCTTTGCAGCTGTATATTGCAATTGTGACTTTTGAGAGATCCTAAGCGTAAAGTAATATTATTTAGTTATCATTTGGGATTTAGTTGAAAAAGTAAGTACTTTATTTTAACTCATCTTAAATCTCCTCAGTAGAAATGATCCTCCAAAGAGAAAAAGAGGGAGAGAGGAGGCAAGGACTAGAAGCTTAATCTGTTGAGCTGCCATTTCCTCTCCCCTAGGCTCAGTGTCACTGGTTTTCTGGTGGGAAGGATTCTAGAAATGTGCAATTGTTTGTACTGCTTGTAAGGCATATTGTGAGAATTGTTATGGTATTTTGCTATAGTAAAATGCTATGGTATTTTGACCCTAAACTAATAATTGCTGGTAATTTAGGCTTTGTCTCTGTGTAATATATGTAATGGCCCTTATGATTGAGTGATATTTTTTAATAAGTCTGCTTGTCTCTTTTGCAGCTGTTACAAGGAGCTTACCAATTGCACCATCCTGATATCTGAGAAACTGGATTGTTATTGGCCAAACCAACTGGTGGATCAGTTCTTCATAACAATTCATAGGCACTACTTCAAAAGTTGCCCTGTTTCAGGAAGGGCTGTAGGAGACCCCCCTAACACAATTTTATGCCCATTCATTGTTGTACCAATTTTTATCACCCTATTCATGATGGCATTGGTAGTGTGGCGAAGCAAATACAGTGAAAGCATTATTTAAACTTTTTCAATAACATTGGTGAAGATGAACCCCAAAGTTTCCAACCTGCAAGCTGTACTGAAGTCTATTTTGCTGTTTCTTTGATAGAGTTCTGGATACCAGAACAAAGTATTTTTAGGTGGTATCTAATAGCAAACTTTCTGCTACCTAGAGAAAAAAACTGTATTCTTCTTGAGTTAACAAATATTTTGCTTAAGTCAAGAGAATGCATTGAGAAATTGTTCTCGTTGTCTGAACTGGTATTAATATTACGGACATGCTTGTACTATTGCTGCTTCAATCTTCTTCAAATTTAAGCTTCTCTTTCCTGATTCCTTCAATATATATTTTATTGTCCTTGGTAATTACACATTTCCCTTGGGCTTATGCACTATTTTTTTTAGATAAAGTAATTTAAAAAAAATGTAGGTATGTGTATGATGAGATAAATCATTTCAGTTTATTTTGTTGGTTAAAATCACTGGAAAACCAATATATATTGTTCATTGTGTTAATTTTTCTGGCTGAAAAATTAACACAGCAGCAGTATTTTTTAGCAAATCCTAATTCAGTGAAATATTATCACTATTTCTTAAGCATGTTAATGTTTTACCTAATAGATTACTTTTGTATGAACAAATGTTCACTATAAATATTTTTATATGGACATTAATTAGTGCAGAAAATTATTCACAGGACAAATCTTTATCAAATTATTGGCAAAATATTAAAGTTTGCAATATACCATTCTGAAGAAATGCTTTCTTATAAAAATTGTAATAAAATAAGTAGTATAAATATGATAAAGCAAACAAATTTCTTATAAAACCTATGGTACTAAGAAATTTAATAGTAAAGTAGTAAATTTATTACTAAAGAAATGCTTGGATTTGCTATACAATATTGGTGGCAACAGCTAATTTCTGATTACCTTTGGTAAAATTCCCTACTCTGAGGACAAAAACATCTACAAATTGGCTCACAGCTGTTGGCTAGTCCATGTGTGCATGTAAGAGACTATGAGCTGGAGAATGAAAATATGCTATAAGCTATAATTATAAATAACATTGTTTGAACAATAAAACCCAACCAAAACATGTAAGCTTTGGATTGCTCTGGACTTGGTTTGGATATGATTTATTTTTCATATTTTGCTATATCAAATCCTACTCGCTAAGCATTGCACTTTCATAGGAAATGTAGTGTATAAATGAGAGACTAACAGTTATAATCAGCAGAAATTGTTTGTTTTCAGGAATCCGGTCTCTCAGAAAAATGTATATTCAGTGGGGCTAATGGAGCAATCACTCAACCAGCAGAAGCTAAGAAAAAGAAGTCAGGCTGATGAGGAGGGGAAGAAAGAAGCGAATACTGAGTGACTCCATTCCTGAACTAATGAATTCATGTGTGAACTCAACCAGCTGTGGTTTATTCAGTCAACAGTTACTAAGCAAACTATGAGTTATAAGAATGAACTACCTACTTTTCCCCATCAAATTGTGTTGTATTGTATTGTATGACTTTAAATATAATTATGCAGTTAAGTGATGTTGTTGTTATGCCTTGTATTGACTGCTGGTGACAGCCTATGAAGTTTGTGCAGTTTTCTTGGTAAGGTATTTCGGAAGTGGTTTGCCCTTGCCTGCTTCCTAGGGCTGAGAAAGAATGACTGGCCAAAGATCACCTACATGGCTTTGTCCCTAAGGTGGGACTAAAACTCACGGTCTCTTGCACTTTTGGAAGACCTAAAGAATCTGATTAAGGAAATAAGTTTACAGTATTCTGGAGTCATGTGATCACCTTTTGTGTTCTTCTGACAAGCAAAGTCAATGAGGAAGCCAGATCCACTTAACAACCATGTTACTAACTTAACAACTGCAGTGATTCACATAACAACTACAGCAAGAAAGATTGTAAAATGGGATAAAACTGACTTAACTATCTTGCTTAGTTACAGAAATTTTGGGCACAATTGTACCATAGATCTCAAGAAAGCAGTTTCTACAAACTCAGAAGATTGGTAAGTATGGGGAAATGTTCCTAAAGAAGAAAATACCAAAGCACAATTGCTAATAACTCCAAGAAAAGATGACAAATGGAAGACAGCAGAAAGGTTAACGTTCTGAAGGACTGAGAAGAAAAAGAGTACATATTCTCTATAGATAGATTTATATGAGTAACATCACTATCAGCCCTCCAAGATTGACCAAACTTGGAAACCAAAGATACACAAGCTAATACTTTTATTATAAGGTTATACTAACAGAAATGAGCAAGTCTGAATGCATTTCACCCTTCCCTTCCTTTATCTTCATGAGAACTAGGGAGGGTCTTGTCTAAGATGTTTTTTCAAATTATATTTTGCCCTGGACTCAGATTTCTTTTATCTGACCATTTTCTTGGTTATGACTCTTCCTCCTGTTCCTCAAAGTTATTCCTTCTTCCCTTGACAACAACATACCATGTTTCCCCAAAAATAAGACCCAACTGGAAAATAAGCCCTAGTGTGATTTTTCAGGATGCTTTAATATAAGCCCTACCCCCAAAATAAGCCTCAGTTAAGATCGTCAACCAGACGGACACATTTAGTACCGGATTTCCCTGAATATAAGCCCTAACTGGAAAATAAGCCCCAATGCGTCTTTGGGAGCAAAAAATAATTTTAAGACCCAGTTTTACTGTATTTTCAGGGAAACACAGTATTCATTTCAAAATATCTGGAAGAATATTTTACTGGTATGTGACCTTTTGAGGAGAGAGATAGTAACAGAAACATGGCAATAGGCAGGGAGTTCTTGGATAGAATCTCTCAACATTACTGAATAGAGATGGTGCAAATCTTTCTATAAAGAGGTAGTGTTGCAAGAATGGTATTGCATGAAATTTTCATAATTTTTCCAAGTATCCTTTCAGCAATTTTTCTGGTTTCAAAGTTATGCCCCTGGTTCTGCATAGTCACAAAAAGATGGAGAATTCAGATCCAAAATACAAAAATGCCTTACATAATATCTATGTAGAATGCTAGCAAAATAATAATTACATCACTGAGTTAACAAATTATTACATAAAAAGATTGGTACAGAGGTGACTGGTTTTTGACTGGTCATAAAAATCATGAGTTTCCATAGATATCCATAGTCTTATGCACTGGTACATGATGCTAAATCTATAATTTTGCAGATGTGATGTGTAATAAAGTATGCCAAATTCTAATTAATTCTTTTAATGATGTATTCTTTCATATTCTCTTCATCTTCCCATTTTTTCATTATCTCTGTTTTAGCATCTTGCTTGAGAAACAAAGCTATCACATTTACCACATAATATCCCCGTTAGTGCCAGACTTCTTCTGACAAATTGTAAATATGGGGTGTGTATGTGTTAAATCTAGATCCACACATCCCAGTATGAAGAATACTGCTCTTCTTAACCCTCTACTTTTGAAGGCAGGTTTCCAATTAGTATTTTAAAGTATTTTAATAAAAAGTAAACATGCAGTAATATGTGTCATATAGATTCAGAGGGTGCAGAGATTGCATTTTCTTTCTAAACTTTACTGGTGTAGTCAAAAGATATATTCTATCTTTTTGTAAAGTATTTAATATGCAATGCAAATCTCTTCAAAGAATAGAGGCTTCTTTTCATTTATTTCTAGAATGTGAGAATGGGCCTTCATCTCTTTTCTCTCACAATGGTTCCAGTCAAGCTCTGGCCCATTACAATAATCTTTATGGTGAAGTGGGAACTTTTTCCCAATACAGATTACTTGTACAGGGCCATGATACAGACCTTGGATTTCAATCCTTTGTCTTGGCTTGTTTATATTGACATATATCAAAAACAGATCATGGCAGAAAAATCTCATTGCATTCTTTGACAAAGTGACTAAATTAGTGGACCAGTAAAATGCTTGGACAATACATTTGGACATCAGTAAGACATTTGACAAAGTAGACCACAACCTACCACTTGGTAAGATATAAAAATGTGGGTTAGACAGCATCACCACCAGTTGGATTCATAATTGGCTGACCAACCATTCTCAACATGTAGTCCTTAATGGAACTACGTCTGCATAAAGGGAAGCATACAATGGGTTACTCCAAAATTCTGCCTTAGGCCCATTAATCTTCGGCATTTTCATAAACAATTTAAATGAGGGGGATAGGAGAACTCATCAAATTTCCAGATGACACTAAGCTCGGGGGAATAGTCAACACTTCAGAAGATAAGTTCAAGATCCAGAACAATCTTGACAGACTTGAACATAGGGCCCCTATCTAATAAAATGCAATTCAGTGGTGAGAAAAGTAAGATAGGCATGTAAAACCAAACACACAGGTATAGAATAGTACTTTGCTCAATAACAATAACTGTGAGAGGGATCTAGGACTCCTAGTAGATTATCACTTACTATAAATATGAGCCAGCAGTGTGCTGCAGTTGCCAAAAAAGCCAACACAGTCTTAGGCTGTGAGATGGTATCTAGGCAGAGAGATAATATCAATTATACATGAACTGCTAGTACTGCTTTGGTAAAATCACACTTGGAATAGTGTGTCCAGTTTTAGTCACTAAGATACAAAAAAAGATGTTGAGACTCTAGAAAGAGTGCAGAGAAGAGCAGCAAAAATGTTTAGGATATTGGAGGATAAAAGATATGAAGAACGATTGCAGGAACTGGATATGTCTAGTCTAATGAAGGATTAGGGGTGACACCCAATATTTAAAAGGCTGTCACAAAGAAGAGGGGGTCAATTGTTCTCCAAAGCAGTAATGAAGGGAAACTAATCAAAGGGAGATCCAACATAGAACATAGAAACTTGCTGACAGAACAGTGAAACGGCTTGCCTCTAGAAGTTGTGGGTGCTCCATCGCTGAAGGTTTTTAAGAAGAGATTGGACAACCATTTGTCCAGAATGATATACAATCTCCTGCTTGAGCAAAGGATTGGACTAGAAGACCTACTAGGGTCCTTCCAACTCTGTTATTTTGTTATAGATTTTCTGCTGGTAGTTTGTAAAAAAGACAAATTGAAAAACAATTTTAGCCTGGAGTCATCCTTCACTCCATTCCATTACCTGCTGGAGTTTGCCTGCAGGGCCTGAATGTCTGGCATGAGGATTGGAAGAGAGTCACGCTTATAATTATGCCAATATCCATTATTTTTCGTTTGTTCATAATCCATGAGACTTGTCACTTGATTGAAGTGCTATTTGAAGAGAGATTGGTTCAATTCTTTTTTTTATTCTGCTATTCTTAAACAAGAATGGAAATTTAGGCTATTGAATGCAGTAATCCAAATGGCAATCTTAGCTTGAACACCATCTCTTTGGGTAAAACTCCTTTTCCCCATTATGAAGTTTTTTCTTCCAACATTCATTCAAGATCTGCCTTCTTGTGATACAAACTTATTATTTGCTATCATGCACTTTGAGTCAACAGAGAACATATCCTGCCTTCATCCTGAGTTACTCAATCTATTGTTAGTTTCATTGGTTGTTATCCCTGGTGCCAATTACTATTTATTCCCTTGCTCTCTGTTGCAGCAGTCACCATTGGCGGCATAGCAGGCTCTGTCAGCCACATATTGCTTGAGGTTCCACCACATTTAGACTTATTGATTTCTGTCTTTATGTTGGAGTGTGTGCATGTATTTTAAAACAATTTGAATAATATTTGTAAGCCATAATGGATATTATTTCTAATTCACAAGGTTATTTCTTTTTAGCAGAAGAAAAAAAAGCATTCACTTCCATTTATTCAACCCTCACCCCCAGGAATTTACTTGCATAGGAATGCTTCCAACAAAGGTTTTACAGATCTGCAATCTATAAATAGGGCTGGACAAAATGTCTCGTATTTCAGCTGGACTGAATCTTTACCATAGGTATGCATGTGGCTTCTTTGGAGAGTATGCACAGCTTACACAACTATGCACTATTGATTTAGTTGGGTTCTCCAGTTCCTTAAGAGAGGAACAGCTGCTAATGTTGCTGCAGTCTTACTTGTGCAGTTACAGTTGCTATGGGCACTGCTGTCAGGGTGCATAAAATATTGAATAAACGAGGTTGTTCCCAAATCTCTTAAATTACTTATTATGCTGTGCATTTTATTTCAAATAACATTTTGTCATGAAAGAGTCAGTTCTATTCCTGTTCCAAACATTGTTAACAGGTGCATATTTAAAAGATGTTTAATAAATAGGAGGAAAATACTGCTGAACATTTTGCTTAATTTAAGAATTATTTTCTGTTTTCATTAAAACAACCTCTATTGCAGTGCCTTATAACTTTTCCTACGATTTTATCAACCATTCAAAGAGATATACATGTTTTTATGCATATGTCTGGAGATAGGTTGATTTCTTGCCAAAATAAAAATTAAAAAATAAAAATAAAAATTAATTGTTTTAATAAAAAGAAGGACTAGGGGATGATATGATAACAGTGTTCTAAGGGACTACCACAAAGAAGAGGAGCCAGCCTATTCTCCAAAGCACCTGAAGGCAGAACAAGAAGCAAAGGATGGAAACTAAATC